AATCAAGTATTAAAGAGAGAAGAAACCGTCGAAGAATGTTTTTGTGCGCGAGTGTTTCTATCATGCACAATATTCAGCATGTGCACACAGACTTTATCCATGTACTGAGAATTATATATATTGTAATATAACAAAACATTCACATAAGTTTCCATCTATTTCTTTCCACAGCCATCGTTGCACTCTCCCAAGAGGTACCATTTTTATCGATGCTTAGGAACTTAGGAAATATACAAATACATGTTGTTCATATAACAGAGTAATTCAATAAAATGTAATCTTTATTTCATTTTGCAGATAGGCATCCTTAAGTCTCCTTAGCATCGTGAAGATTAAAAGACTACAACGAAAGCATTTCTAATCCTAAAATCTAACATACGATAAATTTTCAATTTATTCGCAGTGCAAGTAACATCCCAATGAGAGAATAATGACCTGTCAATCTCCGTATCTCCTTTCAATGACGTCACCATCATCCATAACTTTTTCCATGCTGAGCAAGCTCTCCACTAAAGGATCCTAAAAATAATCCAAACACTTTATAAGCGAGGAACACGTTAACTCTCTTTGAAACTCGAATAGTCGTCGATTTTCATGCACGCGTACGTGTCGTCAGCCACTGTAGAAAGAGAAAGAGATACATTTTGCGTGACTGGTACGTGCCCCGACGTTCTCCAGCACAACGTGTGCTCGAAGAAGGACCGAACTATCGTATTCCATCTCTACTTTCATTGTATGGCGCTTGAATCTTACTCATTTATTTGCAAAATTGTTTGCAGATCCTAAAGAAGATATAAAAAAGAAAAGAAGTAGACGGAACAGCAAAGTCTATGCAATGTTTAAGATTTGAAAGAGTTGTTAAAATGAAGTTGAAGCAATCTTGAAAACGGAAGTAGGTCGGAGGAGACTAAAAGATTGGAACTACTGTAACCTCTTTTCATTAGAAAGTTTATATTTATCTGCGTGTCTTGTTGCATTTTTGTTATTTTTATAGTCGAAAGTAGATTGAGGAACCGCGTGTCTGGATAACAAGAGATGGCCACGAGGACGGATTAATCGCGTGTAAATTTACGCGACACCCGGGGAACCCGGTACAACAAGCTGAAAAACGATGCAGTAGTAGGTGGAGACAGAGAAAGACGAGGGAACGGGGCGGGAAGGTAGCCGCGCGCGTCGTCTCGAAAATAGAAACGGCTTCGTTGACACTCTGCTACAAATTGTCCGCGTCGTTATGCTCTTTGTAAGAGCCAGGCGCTCCTTCCTCCCTGGATGCCCGCCGCTGGAATATTTTGCGATTTTTGCGTTCCGATCTCTACCCTTTGACTAATCGGTCATTGGATATTAGAAACGTGTATAGATAACTTCTCTAAAAAATTATATAGGTCCACAGATTAACACCGCAACTATTATTATTATTGCAATATATTTTCATAGAAAATTAGGGTAGATTAAGGAGTTGTTAATTGAGAGTTAACTTTTATGTTAAATAAGATCAGCGATAATGTAAAGATAATTATATGTGAAGACCACACGAGAAACGTATGATAAGTCCGTTTTTGTTCATTTTCTGATTATGTCATTTGGCGGTGAGGAAGTATTTTAACGTGAAATAGTTGAAAAAGAAGAATAATGTGGTAGATTCGAAAATACATGCTAAATGCACAATATATCAGTTTAGGTCTTTTTATATTATCTTAACTTGGTTATTATCAGTCTGCATAACTGATAAATGTAAAATTAGTTCACAACATATTGAATTTTAAAATTGCCCTTCTATAAAAATCCGAAAACGTGACTTATCATGTTTTTCACCTGTAGCCTTCATATTTATTTGTTTTAAGTTGCAAATAATATCAGTTGGACTAGGCCAAGTGGTCGGGTATCTAGAATATAATTAACTGATTTTAGGTGACGCCTCGAGGAGTAAATGGACCGCGTAACTCCGGCCCTCTTCTCCAACCAGTGTCGCTGAGAATTTATTGCCGTCCGTTCCGCGCGAGGATTACCAGAACTCGGTCGAACGATATCTGACACACTCTCCCTCGTTTCGTCCAGTTAAATCCACTCTAACGACCGCGTAAACGAGCCGGGTAATTCTTAAGGCGGAGCCAAATATAGATGGGCAAAAATCATTCCAATAAAATTCGACGTTCTCCTTCTATGCTTATTCCGTCATAGAATAAAGACTTGAACTTGAAAGAAGAAAGAGGGTGCGATCAAAATCCAATGTCTTCCGGGATTCCTGCTCATTCTCCTTCCCATAGAAATATAAATTCCCGATTCTGGTGAGTTAATCAATTAAAAACGAATTTGAAATTAAATAGATCAATCAGTATATATGTATTCACCCATTGACTTCCTGTTCCTCTAGTGTTCCATTATTCCTGATCTCAATCAACATTGTAATTCGGGTGAGTTAATAAATCAAAAAAGTAAATAAATTAATTCATCTGTTAACTTGCTGTTCCTCCAGTGTTTTATTGTTCTTGGATTCAAACAACATCGTGTCTACTATTTGTATTTGGGAGATTACATTTATTATTACTATAAAACGATGAAACTAATAATGATGTGCTAGTCAATGACACGCAGGATCGAACAATTTAGCTGGCAGCAAGAGGCGACAAGCGTTCCCTTCGTCGCACGTGCGTGGAAGAGGCCGTGAAGCTGCTAATAGTCGCCTAAATGGTCGACACGCTTGCTCTGGCTGTCGCTATATGTCACCTCCGCCCTCTATTTACACGCCACGGACGATGCACGTGCGTGTGAATCTCGACGCGACGGAAACGAAGGAATTCCCGGCTGTCTTCGGCTGCCTACCGCGTTACCTCCCATTCGAACGCCTTAAAAAATGCAACCGGATGAACTTTCCACATAAAATTTAATCCACTCGGCTTTAACTAATTTCCTAAGCTAGTCTAAGCCGTGACTAATAATCATTCTATTGCACACCGAATCTATAACTTCTATTGATAACATATGAAATCTTTTGATGAGAAGAATTAAAAAATTAAGGCACATGGATCATTATTCGAAAAAATCATGCATATTGCACAATTTATTTGGACGGCCATCATTATGACTGCAACTTCTCTCGAATTCAGACTTTTGCACGGCACCAATTTGCTTGCATTTATCCAATTCGAAACAACAGGTTTCTTAACAATATTAATTAAAATTAATCAAAACAGATCACTAATTCATTCTGTTAATCAAGCTCCTAGCATGCACACAAGTCTTAAAACATGTTTGCTAAGTAAAAAATACAATATGCATTAACTTTATATACGCGTAGCTTTTAAATTGGAAAAATTAAAAGTTAACAAATTTCATATGTTATAAAAACTGCCAGTAATTCGGTGTGTCTCGAAACGGAGTTCAATCCGAGTCGTTTATGAGCGTATTTCAACGTCAACCAACAATTACAAGCCATGTCGGTCGTAAAATCAAGAAAATTATTGTCTCTCTAATTGTCAGTTTACTAGAACTGATTCAATGGGAAATAATAACTGTACGGTGGTTGCGTCCCGTTGTAAAGTACCGCGGCCACATCTCTGTAATCTGAGCCTACAGAGAAACACCACGAATGATTTACCTGACTCCCGGTGGATTCGTTCCGCGGAGAGGGGAACCACCGATGATTAACGTCAGTGTTTGCTTATAGAGACTGTTTGCGTGAACCGAACAGTAGCCGACGTTTATGTTTCGAGTTTCTTGTAAGATTTAGCTATTGTATACTTTTTTTTCTATCATGGACAGATGGATGGCTTATTTTATTTTCTTGGAGACACCATTTTTCTTGTAATAACTGCAGACTGCTATTTAGAGGTAGAAAGAATAGGTTTCCTCCTATAGTAGATAAAGCCTCCCTTCCTTTTAGTCTCACCTGCCCCAGCCAACCAATGGGAATTTAGGTATCCCTATCTGTCTCCATGGTGGTTCTTTCGCAAAGAAGAGACAGATGTTCTACCTGTCCCGTCCAACCAATAGGAGAGTCAGTATGATAGCACGACCCTCCCCATAGTTTATATTAGTGAAATATATCTTCTACAAAATAGCGATAAGAAAAATGTCAGGTAAAAATTGTATGTTTTAAAAGGAAGTTGAGAAATTCGTAGAAGATTTAACACTTCAGTTTAATTATTATAATTATCTTCTTTGGTATAGACAAAATTATATCATTAATATCACGAATATTATTGCAGGGCTTGATCAATTTATGATTTGGAGCATTTTATCCTAAACAACAAAAGAATTACAAACTAATTAGATGAAAGCCAACAATATGAAATAGTGAAAAAAGAATGGAATTTGTGAAGACCCCAATAAGCAACATGAAGCTACAATGATGCAAGTGGGACGACTTCTGTCCATTCCATTCATGCCAAGCGTGCTCTTTTCCATCGAGCAAGCAAGATTTATTTTGAGGCGGGCGTGGAGAAGGGACGTGGCCGTACGATCGATTTCCAGACGAAAAATAAAGTGCACGTGCTATTCCTGCGCTGATGCACGTACGGTGTTGACTGGCTGTGCACGGCCAGCCTCTCTTTTACGGAGAATATTAAAGCTCGGCTACGCGCACCGTGTTTGTAAAACATCCTCGTCCACGCAAACATCACCATTGCTGGCCATTGGCTATTTTTCCCTCTTCCGCTCTTTTTCTCATTTTGCTAGGGATATTCTGAGCCCAGGGGCTCGCACTGAATCACAGGAAGCGACTATACTTTTGTTCTGAATATCGAATCGAAATAGAATCAAAATAGACACGAATGATGAATCTATTATGCTTTTCCATTTGCAGAATTATTACGAATTGGACAACACGGTGATTAGTTAGTTAAAGAATAAAGAAATTGTAGGGAATCTTTTTGTAATTAACTATGAAAGATATCTTGAATGACATAGGATATTTTAAAGAGTAAGAGTTATAAAACTAGAATTATATTTCATTTGGAATAGAATATCATAATGAAAGGTAAATGATGCTCATGTGACGGTACTAGACGATAAATAATAGAGATTTATTTTCGACTTTCCATCTAATTACAGGAGCTGCCACGTGTGTCCAGGGTTCTTGGAATAGGTCACAGTTAATTAATCAAACTACTTAGGCTTAGATATGTACACTGACGAATAGTCTTGCAGAGAAACTGTTTTTTTTTTTTCTTCTTTTTTACTATTGCGTTATGCGACTTACATGTTTAGATACACATTTATCTCTTGCTTCTACATGGACCTAGTTATTCATATATATAAATGAAAACATCTTCGAGTGCCTTCCTGTATCGCGAATGCGCCTTAAGCTACGCGTTAATCGTTAATTCTAGATCTGTGCTTCTCGCAAATTCGTTTTTTCTTTTGTGGAAACCAATTCACGAGGCACGGACCGGTCCCTCATCTCGCTTAAATATCGAATACTGTGCAGCAGTCGAAAACACACGAGGACAGGGGTGCAATGTTTATCGCTTTAAGTGGAACAAACCTTTCACGCTTGTCTGAGACAGAATTATCACTATAGACCAGCTTCAGCTTCTCTTCAACGTCACCACGGGAGCCACAGAAATTTCCAGTAAAAGGTATCACTCCAACGTTCCACTCTTCTTGCTTACCACCTCATCCGGACGAAGCTCAGCCTAATTAACGTCGCTGAAACGACGCACAGGATGATCCTTCGGGACTCTGATAAGATTCTCGGCTTGTGACAATGGTGTAAACGGTGGATCGATTCACATGAAGCACTTGGACCGAGACTGAAACTCCATGGGCGCGAATCCGGTCGTAGAAACTCCTGTTGGAGTTGTAGATCCCATCATTCCTGAAGGAACACCCACACCACCCACGCTAGTGCTAGATACTGCCACAGTGCCTGGCTCCTCCTTCACGTTCACCACTAGAACAGAAGAAAGAAACAGACGCTTGTCTCGTTCAGTCTCTTTGGATGAACAAGAAAATCACTGCAAAAAATGATTTCATTATACAATTTTATATAATCGTAGTGGCTAAAGGAAATACTTGCAAACTATTGTATGTATTATACTATTTACATACTAATTAAGTTCAAGTATTTTAAAATTTTCTAACATTCGGTATAATTTGACACTATGAAAATGGAGCGTAGAAACTTATAAGTGAAATTCTTCATTGGAAAATGTGCAAATACTTTTAATAGACACTATATGCAAATCTTCAAATTTTCCATAAATGCATGCAAAATCCACAATAATCATGCTTGTTTAGTATCATTAATAAATTAAAATGCAAAAGGCAAAACTGATTGAAAATAATTACTTTCTGGCCAATAGCACCTGGCAGGTACGGTTTCCTGGGTCATGGCGGCGTCATGCCTCCTAGCGAAGCTGCTACCAAAGGAACCACTACCCATAGAACCTGGGGAACTCGTGGTTCCACCTGGAACATCCAAATAATTGCCTTGAAACGCTTTGCCTGGTCGTCGAGCATTTCACAAAATCAAGTACTAATAATCTGCTAATTAGAGGAGAGACTCACTTAACGAGGTGCCTAATTGACTGTAGCCATTCATGGTTGGGATCTGCATAGACTGCATTGGCTGCAACTGTGGCTGAAGCTGCGAACAAATTGGGGACATTGATTAATTATACTTTTACTTTTTGAATAACAAAAGTGTGAAACTTAGAATTTCAGAAGATTAATTAAAAACTTGTTACTTACTGATTGACAGTGACTGTAGGACAGCTGAGATTGCTGAAGACTCCAAGCACTAGGAATCACAAATAGAGATTGTTTTTGAAATTTAATACTGGGATGAAGAAGCTTCGAGATAATTAGCAATAAATGGCGAAGAAACTTTGAGATAATTAGCAATAAATGATAGAAGGAAGCCTTGGGATAATTAATAATAAATGGTGAAGAAGTTTTGAGATAATTAACAATGAGTAATGAAAAAACTTTGTGATAATTAATGGTACCTTGTGTCGTATCTGGGATATGTAGACGGAGCATAAGATGGCGGAGAGTGACCAAACAGGTTCCTAGGACCTAAATGAACGTGTGTTGGAGAGAAAGGATCGCCAAATAGCGGTTTATGATACGGTGCATTTCTGTATGGTCGCTTCATGCGTCTACGTCTTCTGTAGTTACCATTTTCAAACATATCCGCGTATTGGGGATCTAAAAGTAGATATTGTATCGAAAGTGTATCAGAATTGACCAGCCGCCGCTATTCCTGGACTAAAAATTCCACTAACCGAGAGTCCAGAAATTTCCTTTTCTCTCGCCACCTCCATCACGAGGAACCTTCACGAAGCACTCGTTCAAGGACAGATTATGCCTGATAGAATTCTGCCAACCTTTCTTATTCTTCTGAAAATATGGGAACCTGGCAGTGATGTAAGCATAAATCTCACTCAAGGTCGCCCTCTTCTGAGCACTATGTTGAATCGCCATAGCAATTAGAGCGACGTAACTGTACGGAGGTTTCTTGCTAGCGGAATCGCTGTTGCTACCACTTGTATTTCCTGTTCCAGTCGCTGTGGAAGACCCATCTGCCGCTGTGGTAGGCGTCGAGGGTGTCGACGGTGTCGAAGGATTGCTGTTCGTGGTGCTGTGAAGAGCTCCGGTCGGGGATGATCCTTTTTCATCGAGGTGATGATGAGTGGAACCTGTGGAGTGCATAGACACCGCAGAATTCGGGCTGTGAAGACTATGATGAGAGTGATGATGAGTCAGGGAGGCGTGGTGCGATGTCAGCCCTCTCGCGAGGCTCACTGTGGAGTCCAGCTCCTTCGACACGCCGATACAGCCATTCTGCATCTCTGATACGAAGCTGCTCACTGAAAATATCACAAGTATCGTTTAAATATCGTGATATAGCGAATGACCTTGAGAATGGCTTGCATGACAAGATCATTAACTTCAGAAAAATTCTTGTAGGAGAATCTGCGAATGACCAAGGAGTATTTACGTGAAGAAAATAAAGCAACATTTTTGATAATTTTCTGAAGAGAGCAGGAGGCTCTAATAAGAAAAGGCGAAAAAAGAGGCTAGATGATTTTCATTCGAGACACGGTTTCCAAGAAATTGGACAATGGAACTGGCTCGATCGATCTACGTACAGGCACGACTTCCAAGAAATCTCAGTCGGGGTAAAACAATTGGACCTTTGAAAGGAATTCGCTGGGCGACACTCGAGCCTCGACGATAAAAGTTGTTTGAAGAAATGATCATCCAAGGTGCACTGCGTGCCCTTGAGTAAAAATTACGTCATTTTCTCTTTCACCGTAAACGTATTTATATCTACTTCATTGACAAGAATCATGGTTGCTACCAGATTACATTTGCCATTGTATAAATCATATCGTGCGAATCGCATGACTGAGTGCCAGAGGCCTCAGTGATGGAAGAAAATTGAGTGAAAAACACGGAGACATGAGTCAGGAAAGGAGTGCGTACGTGCATGGTGTCGAATATTCACCGGTGCCCCGCAGCACATGTAACTGAAACCGTAATTAGACACCGATAAGTTAAGCACGCCGCACTTGCGCAACAAAGAGGATAAAGCGGGTAACAGAGAAGCTCTGAACAAAAGGAAAAACAGCAAAGTATGAATTTTCGCAAATTCAATCGGATCGATTTCAAGAAGAGAAAGAACGACGAACTGAATATTCGAAACTCAGTTAAAAAATGGTTTGTTCAATTTACTCCGGTCCATTGTAGCCTGCAGTAAATGATCGATTACATTGTTATCGGAACCACTAGGAACGGGAACATCTGTTCCCAGGCTATGCAAATCCAGGCAAATATGATATGCCACTAACGCAGACCTCCAGGGCGTATGATTTTCAGCGCGGAGAAGCTTCTTCGTTCGGGACACAATAATGTTTCCCGACACAGGAACATGGTAATATATTTCCTACGGTACCGTTGCGGCGGTCAGATATTTTAGCTATTTTGATAATTGGACATATTTTAAAAGAAAAAGTTGGAGAAAAATAATTAAACTCAGACCCAAAGATGCCTCGTTTCAATCAATTCACATTATTGAATTCTAATGGATCGACATTGCAATTATAAAAATGAATTTCCAGAATTTCTATCTCTCCTTCCTAAATTCTACATTTATGAAATAAAATTGAAATTATGCAGCTTTCACGCATTATTTCGCTACTTAATCCTTGATGGTTTAGCTAAAGAAACTAAAGAAAAAAAAATAGAAAAAGGTATAATCAACGAGGAACTATTTGTATATGATCTGTTATCTTCTTGAAGACTTCAGATTGTACGTCATCTTTTACAGATCACGTGTCCCAAGTTCGACAAGTTGATATCGACCTATGGGGAGCCTAACATATCTACGTAGGCTCGTGGACTCCTATGTGTAGATCTAAGGTGCATAAACGAGCGACGAGATCGCGATAACGTCGAAACGTTTGCTAACACACCTGACTGCAACTGGAGATCCTCTGCTACGCGACACCTACGAGACCACATCTGCTCTCGTCACGGGATCCCTTGTTTCATAGTCGTCTACGACAGACAATCGTCCAGTATAAAACACTGGATATAGAAAAGGAACTGAAGCATAATTTCCTTAGCTTGTACTAAAGGTGACACTTATGGTATCATATAAGAAGACCACTGTAGAAATAATTTTCTTAACATGTGGCAAAGATGTGGTGTCACTTATGGTGCCTTATAAGTAGATTACTGTAGGAAGCAGAACGTGTTTCGCAACGGAGCATGCAGAAAAATGCAGCTGTTGTGAAAACCCGTGACGTAATTAGGCTTGCGAAAATTGGTGGCCTTCGCCATGGTATGTTTGTAACGATGATTTAACGACGTCTGCAGATTTGTGAAACGAGTTCACGAGTTCTTGGAAAATCGGTGATTAACTAGGTTATAAATCTGTCTTATTAGGTCTCCTATATGTAACGTTGATCATGGTTTAGTTACCGCTGTTCGCCAAGATCAATGCTACACATCTTATCAAATGTTCACCTGGACAAATTGTAAAGAGCGGTATGATAAAAAAACTGTTGCTTCATCTGTGAAGAAGAGAATGAAGAGAATGGAAAAGAGAAGAAGAAGATGATGCGGATCGATTAGACTGAAACAAAGACGATCCTCGAAGCGAAGGTCGTTGTCTTCGTCGTCGTTGTCGCAGTGAAAATCGTGACATTCGCATTCCTGAAATGCTACGGGTTCCGCGAGGAATCGGCGCCGATAAGCGAAATACAATACGCCGTGACATCACGCTGCGAATCGCACGCCTTTGTCCCCGTCGACGCCATGCGTGCCTCTTTCTCCTTACTCTTTGATCAGGTCAATCTACGCTCTAATTCTAAAAAAGCCTCTGTTACCTTTAAACTTATTAAAAACTTATTCCTTTAGTATACATGAGATATAAAAGTATATGAAGAGATTTTCCTCAAATAACTATATAGAAGATTGTTATATATATTGTAATTGGATGAAGTACATACTTATACATGTATGTATCCTCTTTCTTCCTGAATAATATCATTCACTAATTGATTAGGTAATTGTAATATGGTGGTAATATGATCATTAATAGTGAAAGTCATGCTTCTCTAATATCAAATATCATGACGATTATAGCGAGCTAGGGCAAGCATTAGAGGGCGTCAGGGCACGTGTTCAATGACCCAGCTAATAGGGGGATTCCATTGGAGTAGCCACTCCCACCATGGATGAGCAGTAATGAGCACGTGCTTGCCCATGGTGATACCATCAACTTCGAAACATATTTTATAATCTTATAATGTTACGATACTTCAGATTCAAGTATCAAATTCCAAATAAACCAAGTAAGTAATAAACTTTACCATTTAATGGAAGGCGTACAATGACTTAACCTGAAACATGTTCTTTTCAGAATTCTTTAAGACGTTCAAGGTATTAACCTGAATTTATCAAGAATTGGAGTTATATTATTCTAAGCCTAAAATAATGAGGATTCCTTGCACGAGAAGGAGTTACGAGGATAACATAGAACTGGAATCAAGGGGTATGGGATCATCTGCGCGACGATAGCTCAGCTTGTGGTATCATCGCATGAGCCAATCTTCGTCGGTATCCTCCTTCTCCCTGACGTCCACAACGCCGGAAGTAAATATGGGATCAAATTTCTCCTAGTTACTATGTATTAAGTAAAGACCATTCTGATCTCTTCGTTTATGTCATGCTTTCTTTTGCAGACTTTTTAACCTTACGGTACTCCTCCACTTCTTCTGCACGCTTTTATCTCTTCAAATATCTTCTCTTTTGGAATAATTTATTCGTAAAAAGCGTAGAATACACAAAAATGAATATTAAAGGATAAAATGAATAGAAATAATATCTATTGAAGTACAACGTCCATTTTTGGTCATATAGAATTGAAGAGAACAACAGGATTCATTTTGATTCGTGGAGGTGAATTTTCCTCTCATTGAGGATGCAATGAATTTCTTTGCTCGTCTCTCTCCCCTCTAATAGCAACCTGTCGCGTCATCGTGTTTATTATACCGAATGTATGTGATTTGGAGAAAGGAAAAAGCTACTCTGGATCAGACCCAGTAGAAAACAAATGCTGACGATTACCTAACGGAAACTGAGCGATAATAGTCAGGGGGCCCGACTGTGTTCTTGCCACTTGGTTCGTCGTCGAGTATTTATCTCGAATCTTCTTTTTCGTGAAGATTTTGTAATCGACTATCCGTCATTCTAACCGTTTTATCGTTCTAAAGAACCAAGAATTCATCTGGTTTAGATGCCGATAAGGAAATCAAGTACTAATTGTACAGTACTAATTCCACCTTTCTTATCTGCTCTGGACCTCTATGGGAACTATAAAGTAATGACCTAATTTGAGATTATGTCGTACAATTTGATCGGTCAAGTTTATGTAAGGTTCCGACGAAAATTATGCATCTACGTAATCATTGTGAACGCTAGCGATTCCCTTATCAGAGAGCCGTACCCTTGTTTACTACAGATCTATTTTAACTCGAGTACGTGCGAAGATATTACGTCCACGACCTGGTTTCCGAATAAATAAACAGGGTCGCGTTATCGGTGATGAAAACAAGGCCCAATCTGCTAGTTTTTGGCTAAAAACCGTCGAGGATCTTGAACTAACACCACAGAGGTAATAAGATAAATAGCTATATTTAGAAAAGCAAGTATTACAGTATAATTATGATAGCGAATATGTTAAAGCGTTTCTGTCTTATTTTCTTGTGATTGGAGAGCACTAAAGAAGCTAAATTACAAGTCCGGCTAATCGGAGCACCGTTCAAGCGCTGCATAATTAAACGTGTCAGCTTTCCATGGAGTCTTATCGGAGAGTCTTTATTGGCCCGATAAATTTGCACGCATAATCGTAAATATGGCAATGCACTAGATGAATGTGGAACACCAATCGAGACATTCATATACTAATATTCGTAATTTATGCCTGCTACTCACAACTCTTCCGAATAGAAAAAATTTTCCAACTTTTTGAGGAGCCCATAATCATGTTGGAACCTACAGTTGGAAAATATTAATAAAATATCAAGCACCGTACCAGAGATCTGCAAAGCAAGGAGAACGAGATATTGATTCAGACATTAACAACTAAAATGACGGAATAGAGTTACATGAGCCCATAAAGGATCAAGTAGTAAGAAATTAGTTTTTAAACAAGTGTTTCTAATTATGCACGTAGAAATAGTATTTAAAATATTTTTCATAAGAAACCGAAGGAGCAAAGAGTCGCACAATCGGTGATGGGACTCAGGAAAACGCCGTCGTCGTCCTATATATCAAGTGAACCGTTGGAGTGGGCAACACTCCCGGATTAGCGACCATAATTCTCGACAAAAGCATTCAGAATGGTTCTCCTCGATTTCGAAAACACAAGAAGAGCCATCAGAGAGTCGTTGTCTCGTGTTGCTCCTGCAAAATTCTCGACCGCCAGCCACGAGAAGGATCCTCCACGTCGTCATTGAGACTGACTAATCGCTTTATCTATCCGAACACGAACAGAGAAAGAGCTCATGATTTTTGCGACGCGTTTCGCGATCAGACGGCATGCACACGCGCATAACTGGCCGGAGATATTGATACCAAGCTTCTTAGATTTCAACGAGGCTCCGTCTATCTTCAGCGATTAGCGAATAAGAAAAATCTGGTAATGCGAAACCCCGAGTGCAGTCGTTTTCTTTTATCGATGTTTTATCTGCTTCTTTAACCCCCTTCCGACAAAGCCGTCTTCCGCTAGTAACGAAAATCGCCTTCGATTTCCCTGAAACTATATTTTTCGAATGGTTCGTATACCTAGATTATGTAAACGATATAATGACTCTGCTTCGGTTTTTGATCGAATTTATTACGCGTTCGTAAACAACCAGTCCATTCCCTGCACGCGTCTCTTTCTACCTTGCAGAATGATTAATGGACGCGTTAACGACCAACGTATAGCTGAACTCGTCCATCAGCGACATATTACAACAAAATACGCGTATACACCGTCTATACAAAAACAATGCAGCTTGCTGATTGTAGCTTATAAATCATCAGTGGCCCTGGAGACGCGCGTCGTATACGCAAGGATATTTCTATCAGTGATAATCTCTAATCCGAAGCTGTGGAGGATAAGTCACTGACAGTGTTCGAAGAGAGCGTAATCGAGCCAGAGAATGTAACTAAACGACGCGTGGAGAGATCAGGACGCAGCCTCCGTCGGTATATCATCCTCCGCCGTCTCTCCGTACACTTTTGACTTTCTTTCCTCGTTTCACGTATTCGTTGTTCCGTCCTAACGTCTCTGTTTTCTTTCAGATTACCCTCGGCCCAGTCTCTTCGTTCCTCTCTTCCCCGTGCACCGCGCCTTTCATCGTATAGAGTCACGCGACACTCGAGCACCGTTTTGTATTATTAGAACGCGGTTTTCGAATTCCATGAACACGGAGGAATCATTGGTGCTGGGATCCTGATGACGTCAAGCAAGTCTTTCAAAAATTGTCAACGCGTTTTAGAAGCTTGGTTGTACAGCAACGATTTCTCGTTGCTCAGGATTAAGTAAACGCTTACCTTGGTGCAGAGGCGGAAGAGGTGACGGTGGAGACACCTGAAACGGCTCCTGCTTGATCTTCAATGAGTGGGACGACTCCTGCATCCCTCCCAACCCTGCGACTCCCAAATTTCCATTACCTTGCTGCAGTTCCTGCAATCACGAAGAAGTTCGTTACCATGAATGTATTTTTAATGCGGGAAAGTTCATTTTATAGCAAGAAGAGTTTTTGCCAAAAATAAATTACTACAAATGTAATATATGCATATGTAATCTAGCGTCTGGCTATATGAATATTCATCGGTATTTACGACGCAATTTAAATAAATAATGATGAAATAGGTAACCCAGGTAATCGTTATGGCTCTTTAACGTAACAATAACACGATGAACAAAAGGGAAGAAGGAGGTGATAAAAGGTGAACGAACCGGAGGATCGTGAGAGGTGAACGACGCGGCGCATCCACGAGACCGGGCCAAAGAGGCTTCTGGCTCGTAGCTGGCAATGTTTGAAGTGCCGTCGCCGGAAGCTTACAAACACCGACTCCGTGTTGTGACATCGTATTATGCCAAGCGAAACTTACGATCTCGCTAGATCGTTAATTTGCGATCCGGTTTTACGACGTCTAGTTTGCACTGAGCCACCAGTGTACTTGGCGAAAATTCGTTAAACAACCTTACGATACCTTGAGGTAGTACATTCTTTTCAATATTTATCATACCATATTACTTTTTTTCAAAACAAATCCTTCTAAATAAACTATTTGTATTAATCGATCGTATATACAATTCAGAGAACGACATAAAGAAACCGATCGGAAATTTTCATGGAAGAAGATCCTTCTCCCTGACTCGTATACCTGACCAAATAAAAGGGCGTGTCGTTGACCTAGGGATTGAAACCGATTGGGTATACAATCTACTCGACACTGAGCTCATAATTATTTCTATAGTGGCGCTAGAGCTGTCAAGTGCGGCTTGCAAACGCAGCAAGATATACAGGCACTGTGTCGGACATACTGCAGAAGTGCATCAACGGTTGACACTGAGAAACGTCCTCGAGAAATCCGTCGGGTCGGCTAGCTGGGACACGTGGCCACCTCGTTAATTCGCTAGACAGCCATTAAATTAAGCTCCTCGGCCTCTGTCGCCACCGATGAATGCTTTGAACGAGCGAAAAAAGGGAATCAGCATAGCCATGGATTCTTCAAAGGGTAGAGACTTTGGGATGCTTAGATAGATTAATACCGGTATACTTGCTGGTAGAAATATATGGAGAGCTTGTTGAGGCTCTACCAAATGAAAAGAAATGATATATCCTGTATTGAAGGTGTTAATCGCTCACTGTATTACAAGATTCATGATCTCCTTATGTCCTTGAAAGTTTAGGAAGTGGTAATGATAATTTTTCAATTATGGAACATGTAGATACTTGTACTTAAAGACTGAGGAGAATCCTTGTTGCTTCGTAAACAAACAAACAAACAGGAGAGGATTTATTGTTTCCGATGATTCAGCTTGTTTGCACTTCAACACTAATAAAGGTAGAGGACCTATAAATCACTCCTGTAAACTAGCAGATGAATGACTTTAGGTTCTAAGGATAAATTCCGATAAACTTATTACTAACTTCATGTCTAAATTGTATTATTGAAATATTGAGTTGTCAAACAATCAAACATGCACTTGATCATACCAAAAGAGTGATAACTTATGAATTTTAGAAGCAATAAAGTGCGATTTTTAACAAACAATAAAAGCTATTAATGTAAGCAAATACTAGTTTTCCATTTATAATTATTCAAAGTACTACAGTGTGTGATGAAAAATTGAAGAATGACTGAAAAATTTACTCTGCTCCTTTCAGCAAGTGCACGAACATCCAGCAATAGAAACCAGGCTGTGAAAGAAGAGAAGAGATCAGCATAGGTCGACGACGTGAGAGGCAACTTCTCTTATCATTGACTTGATAAAAGTTCCTCTGCTTTTCCTCCAGCTTATCAGCTGTTCGTTTATTTTCAATAACTAGTTCGCATGTCTGCCCCAAAATAATCGTCGCATCACCCTCTAATAATCGTATTCTGATTTCGATATTGGTTTAATTTAAGTCAGCACGGAGTATGCTCGTACAACTGGCCTGGTTTAGCCTGTCAGCCATAGTAAGAGGAGCTTCTATCGATTTCTCCAGTTCGCTTTGTAAATCTAAACCACGTCCAACCGATCCGCGGACTCAATCAGGTATAAGTTCATTCATGGAAGAGAGGATTATTCAATAAACTCCATGGATTATGTTCGACTGTAATTATTGGAAAAGAATTTTTCTAACTTGAATGAAGGAAACAGAAGAGCGTCAATTACTTGGAAATGGGAACGGGAATGGTTGAGAATGCTCGGCGAAGACGCAGATCGGATAGTTGCGAAATTTTCGAGATCACGACCTCCACTTTTCTCTTTTTTCTTCTCTCATGTGCGACGATAAGCGACGCTGGCTCGACTGTCGACTATCGTTCCAGCTGAGCGTTCGTGAACGTTCATTTGAAAAACCGCGAAAATTCAGAAAAATTCATCGTTTTGAAATTATGGATTCTACACTATCACCATGAACCTCTTTGCCTAATAATGTGACTGTAGGAATTGGATGAATGATCTTTTATGATTGCTCATCAGTTCAGATATAGATAAATTGTAAATTAACAAGTTGAAAATTACCCCAGCGACGGGAATGACGTGCGAGACCATCCTTGACTTATCCAGGTCGTAATTCATAAAAATGCTGGCCGCTGCAGCTGCATTTACACTATGCTGCACGGCTGGGTCCTCCCAATAGGCGGGCAAGCCCTCCACTGTTTAACACTGATTCTTTCAAAACGTTCTAATTAATTTGACTGAAATTTCCTTAAGATTCTTCAAATACACTGACACTTAAGACCGTCAAACACTGATCACAAGCTATGTACACCTTCGATACTTGATGTTACATCTTTAAGAGGAAGGTACGTTGGTACACCAGAGTATCACTGGGGTAGTGGAAATAATTCTTGAAATTTGCTGATACGATCTGTAACAGAAAATGGAGATACAAATTCATTTTATAAGCTAAACGCTCAAAAAATTAGAAATTGTATTTTAAAAATGAAAATTTTTATGTATTTATAACATAGTCTAACAATTACAAGCAAGAAAGAAAAGAATCTTTCATTTCTCAATAATTTAGTAACATAAAAGCTAGTTCACAAAGTAGTTCTTACCACGATCATCGCTATACTGTGCATTTTTATGCATGTGCAAAAATGCACATAAAATGCATATAGTATGCAAAAGCATAGAAATGAGAAGCAAAGAAGAATTGTGAAACGAGACTTATTGTCAGTCTAGAAATATGAATTTTCATAAATATCCCTAGTCTAATAGTCCAATCAACGCCAATTTACTAAGTAATATAGAAACAAGTTCTTTCACAGTTCAAAAGACATTATCAGACAATTTCTATGTATTTTAGAGATCTAACATCTTCTCCACCGACGTCTACCAACAAAATAACCGGAACCCCTGTTCGTGACAAATGTAGCGAGATCTCTCCGATGCTCCTGAACGATTCCCAACGTAGAGACTCGTGTTTGAAGCTCAAAGCCGCCGATGCGATGGGACAAGGAGTTTGACACGGCTCTGGAAGGGAATGTTGACGAGTGAGCAACAGCTGAGCACTTAGCCGAGCACGAGGAAAGGGAGTATATCCCGAGGGAGTCGTTGAGACTTCCGGCGGCCGCCGACAGAGAATCCTGGATACGTCCTCCGGCGGACATCTCGTAAATTTTGACAATAAGAGGGTATACGCGGCCCGTCGAACTCATTTATTTTAAGAGTGAATGTACATTAGGAGCTACTCGTATCGCTTTATCGCTGAATGAGCTCATTAGCTGTGTATCAGCATCAAACCGCGTGTAATTTCGCTGATTATTCACTTTAATGCTAATCGAGGCCGTTTTTTTCGTTAACAATTAAGCACTTCTACTGGGAAATGACTAACAAATTTATTGAATGTCCCATGACGTATTCAGATATGTTTACGAACATCATGGATAAATATTTTGATCTGTAAGAGAGCATCTAAGTATTATAAAATGTAAAACTATGTACAAACATTGAGTGGCACTGTTGTACATAACAAACACTGTTTGTACATAACTGAAACTGTTCAGTACCTTTGATCTCGCTAAAAAACTGACAGATATCTTGAAACTTTTTACTGAATTGATATAGCTATTAATTGATTTTGTTAAAAAGGAATAATCATGCAACGGTGGAATGTACAAGCAGAGTCTCAATAGGGAGAAAATTAATTGTTATACCTACACCAAGTTTAATGAACCAGTGGTTGTGAAATCTGTGACTAAAAATCGAGCATCTATTAATTAATCTTTTGTTTAAAAAGAAATGTCCATATATGTAATGATGGAAAAAAATCCCAATAGGAACAAAAAAATAATTGATATGTAGGAAATTTAACGAAATCAGAAAATTAATTTACCATCGAATGATTTTGCTGTTGAAATCCCTTAAGATTAGTGTATGTTAATTGATCCCTGATTTATGGAGGTGCAGACGACTGTTTTGACGTAATTAGAAGATCCTCTTATCTCCTTTGGCAGAAGGAAGAGCCATTTATCTGGTTGTTTACTAAACACCGCGTTAAGTTCATAGGAATTTTGCTGATCGCGGAATCAAGTTTACAAACTCGTTCCTGGCCACGGTCTTCTAGATATTTCAATAATAATAATATGTCACGAAATCTACCTTTTTATTTTCACTCGCGTATTGTGATAGTAAACCATCTCATTCATGAGATTCATGATCATAAACGTTTAGTATGAATTGAAATGTTAGATCAATGATGACCCAGAGCTTCTAGAGGTGAACTTTGCACATGACGTAAAAGACCACGTCGTTAACGTCCGACGGCGCCGTCAGGTTTAGAAGAATCTAATTCTGCATGATTTTTCCCGAAAATTATGAGAACAAATTTTCTCCGTTATCAGAAGATTCCAATTTGATTAAAATTTTCCTAAAAATTAAAAGGAATCGAGATACAAAATATAGCTTACTTAAGGGAAAAGGACAGATTTATAATTTTGTAATCTTTATTTTGGAATCCAGTACTAATACATTTTCTACTTATTTCAGTGAATTCTTCACGTTCAATCTCCAAAGACATTTCCTAAGGATAAGCATAAGGAGACACTCGTACACATTCATCTACTTCATCTATCTCATTCAAACGAACATCAATTTTAAAAACATATTATGTTACTCATAAAAGTAGCATAAACTGAGTCTGGATGACTCAGGAACCACCAGCAAAAACTACAATTTTACTTAATTACACTTTATGTAACTCAAGTCACAAAAAAGGACCCAGAAGACTAACTCAAACTAAAGAACAGGGGTAAACCAGTAAACCACAGCATGAATTTACCAGAAATTAATACAACTAAAAATCATTACTTTCAAGATGGTTAAATAAATCACTAAAAGCATTTACATATAACTATAAGCCAATGAACTCACAGGATCCAGGGAGCCAGAGAAACCTGATGGTTCTTCAAGTGGAACAGAAGATTTTTGAGTTGCAGTAGCTGGTTCACCAGGAAGCTTTTCACCAAGAAGGTGCTTGTTTGAAGCACTGCTATAGCAATTTTTATCACTGTATCGCGATTCGCGTGGAAACCGTCGAGTAACAGCGGGAGCACGATAGAACGTGCGCCAGAAAGGAGAGCCAGTCGAGATTGAAACTAATTGAGAACGTTCTGAGCGAGCCAGCGAGCGTTCCGAAGCGGGTGGAGGCGCACAGAGGCGGAGTTTCGCGGCCACAGCGCCGTTCAACTTATCAGAGACCTCCCACGTCTGGTTCTCCGCCTCCAACGGTTGGAACAGCCAAAAATTCTCGTATGCTACTTTCAAAGACTTACTCTCTAACTCTTGCTATTTCTCTCCAATGCAATATCGAGTGCCCGTAAACTAACTTTGGGAATTTTCTTTGCAGGAGATTGTATGAAAAACTCCACAATTGACGCAATGCGTTGGCTGAATTATTTTTATTGAGGCTGGAGAAAAAAGCAACAGTTACATAAATAAGGATGTCTGACTATTCATGGTTGTTGATCTGTTGGGGCGTTATTTGTTATACTTCCAGCAACAAGTTTGTAAAGAGGTAGAGTGGCACGAAACAAATATTGTATTTAGAATAATGTTCTGAACGACAATATTATTTATTGGTCAAGTTTTACAAGTTGTTGTTGGAATTTCCGGGTACAAGGTGACTTCAGTATAAATTAAGTTCTCCTAGAGAGTACCAGTTTGTCAATGAGATTAAAATATATATATATTTATTCCTAAGTATCAATCAGTCAGTATAATTTAGATAAAATTAGATTCAGCATAATTAATAATAAAATTGCATCTGTCCAGCTGTCCCGAGGTGAAAACTCCTCAGAGCCTGTTCTGTTCGGTATTCTTCAACCTCCACCACCACAAAACATGTACATATTGGTGTGCTCTACTTTGTAAAGAATTGGTCCAACACGAGTCATCAAGTGCAATTATGTAACCAGTGCTCAGGTGGCGTTTAAGAAATCATATTAGGCAACCGTGTTTTGCACGATAATCATTACCTACAATCCTACTGGAATTAAGGTCGCCGAAAGAATCGCTGAACTGATTGGAAAACGCCTGGTCAGGATTTCATTGCGCCCGGTCTGACCATAGAGTTGCCGTTTCCACTGTGCCGGTTTCAATCAGCGCGCACGCGTTCGTTTGGATCGATACCTTTTCTCATAACTTATATCTACACGTAAAAAGCTTCCTTTAATCAAAAAGAACAATCATTATACTTGGATTATATTCTACATCAATATATACATAAGTTATGAAGCATACATTTGTAGAAATGAATTTCTGTTGAAAACTAAAGATTGATAAACTGTTTGTAGAATTATAAATCTTTAATATGATGAATCCTTTTGACTACGAAAGCGAGATATGTGTAGTCAATTGATCCATTAAAAACGTGTTTCTGATCAGGTTCCATTTTTCGTGTTACAGACAGCATCGGGGATGTTCATTTAACAGGATAGAGGGGAAGGAAAAACGGTCGCCATATTTTGGGCGGAGACTGCGATACATTTGCCTGTTTCATTGGATGAAAAGATCGATCTGGTGCATCAGCTGCACGCGCCTGCCCAGTGAACATTCTCTGATACCTTGCGACTCGTTTCACTTAGCAGTAGTACTGTACCGAGTACCATTTCAACCCCCTAAAAGCGATACTCATTGCTTTCTAGAAAAAGTGTACGCTTCGAGTACCTTTATTGGAAGAAAACTGTACTGAAACATTTTCCAGGCAGTTCTGGAATAGTCTTATGTAATTATGGTTAGTCAAATCCTGAGTAGGAAATTTTATTGTATTAGATATCAAGTATCAATTTCTTTTAGAAGATTCTAGAAAACTTCTCAAGTATGTCAAATAAAGTACGCACTTTATTGTGATAACTTTTTGAGAAAATTTATTTTAAGAAGCTACATTAACACAGATTTATTGACAACTTTAATAATTATAACCAATAGACTAAAAATTATGTATAGTTTTATTTTAGGGAGGTAGGATTCAGAGGAACAACGATGCATTTATTCTGGTGAAGTTCCTGAGAGCCAGTTTCTTTTCACGGTGTCGCTATCGGAATCGAAATCTCCGGGCAAATAAACAGCGCACAAGTTCCCAGCCATTGATCGTGAGCAATATAAATACTTACTTCCTACGTGATGTAGGTACGATTCTGAGAAATAGGCTTGTCATATATGTATACATGCCACTGATTACGTAATACGAGGCTACGTGATTTAGGCAGGCTGCTGATAACGACTGTGAAATAGAAGAGCTTACGTTTCTTCCATCGACCATCTAATCAACCAAAATTCTTGCTTCGTTTTAAATTGCGTACCATTGACCATATAATACTTAATCTGTTAACAATATAACATATTGCTATCAAAACAATGAAAGAGATACCGTAACTATTAGTTGATGTGCATTGTTCGTGTTGTATTATCGTGTTGTATACCACGTTTTAAAATTTTAAAGCTGTTATTCTTAAAATTTCCACAATATTCTGAAAATTTGCTTTTTGATTTTAAATTTACTTTTCAATTTATGGAGTTGATCAGTGTGGCTTCTGAATTGCTCGTAATTCCTGATGTTCTTATAACATTCTTTTGTCACTCAAACTGTATTTTCTGTGTTCTTGCACTGCTTTTTAATTGCTGGAATTCCTCTCTCTTGCGATTAACATACTTAAGCTAATTTTTTTTTTATTAATGAATTCCTTTTCTCAGGTTCTTTTACTGATTTTTTAATACCGTATTCCTCTTTTTGCAGGTAATGGTTAGAAACAATTTAAAAGAAATGAAAGCCATGAAATATTCGACCAGTGGTCATTGACCACAAAATAAACATCCAACATCAAGCATTGAGGAAGTCAAGAAATAAACTTTCTTTAAACAATCAGTACAAGGACAAGAATTGAAAGAGTAGAAATTAATTAAGATCCCTTATGAAATACACCTATCCGCCTATGAACCTTCATCATCGGTAAATCAGTCTGGAAAAGATATCTATTTCTGACTATGTTCTTCGAATATATTCAAGTCAACTATTCTACAACATAATTTATAATTAGATTTTTGTACATTACGATTCTTATTGATTTCATACATTGACTGAAGATAAGAAATTTGAACGAATAGTTAAAATTTCAATTAGGTCCAAGTAGTTGAAAAAAGAAGAAGAAAAACAACAGCCGGATATTTTTCAATGGTGATAACGGATTGTTGATCGAAGGCTAAGACTCACCGGGCTGAATGTTGTCACTGTAACAGTGTATTGTTAGAGCAGTACAATGAGCGTGTTTAACAATACCGGCGACCGATCCGGCCGATTGTTTCCTCGCCTCTTAACGTTACTGTTGCCATTAGCCGCGGCGATTGCGATTAATTCGCTACTAAAACAACGTGCGCCTTGCCTGTCCAATTATTATCACGTGCACGATACTCTATTACATGCGAACTAATCATATCGAAAGGAATATATCGAGACTCCGGATAATTTGTTGCAAATTATTTTCAATTAGACATTAATTAGACTTCAATTAGATTTTATTATCTTGGATCATTATGAACAAAGGATAAGGTGAATATTTTTAATATTTTTATTATCATATGCTGTTGGAAACTATAAAAATTCCTATCGTTCGTAACAGGTCACGCTTATGAAGGGACGATAAATTATTAGGAAACTCAATCCTTCGAACCCTTTAAAAATTATGACTGACCCAACAAGCGTAAGGAAACACGAGGAAAAAGAGAATTCTTGTTTTGATTAGGGAATGTCAAAGCAAACTGACTCCGGAACACTGGGCTGCCCTTTCTTTCAGTCTCTCCCTACCAATTTTATTGGCTTTTTATGGTGGTTTGTCATGACTGGTCGTGGTCACGTTCTACAGTCCACAGTAACGCATTGCAAGCTATTGTGTCATGGTTGTATGTACTTCTTAACTTGTTAAGGGAAGTATAGAAACGTAGAATTATTTAAAATTGTTGACTCCTTCTTTTTTTAATTAGATCTCGTGTCACTTTATTTAGGTATAATACAATATAGTATGTACAATACAATACAGAGTACAAAATACTCATATTAAACTGTCACAATAGTATTATCACAAAATATATTATATTAGAGAAGTCTATAATTTTCTGAATAATTTTAGGATTGTACTAAAGTTGCTTAAAGCAGATATTTAATAATATAAAGGAATTTTACAGGGTAATACAACGATTTTTTAAATAAAACAGACCATATGAAATAAATTATCATTTTAATAAAGGAGATCATGTAAGATAAACTACCATCTTTTAATAGATGAGCCCATATAAAATAAATCGACATTTATTTATTAGTGCCAAGAGTTTACTAGGACCATAAAAAGTTTTACTGTAATATTGTATGTAATTTGCAATTTTGCATTACTTATAAGTTATCTAGTATATATAAAGAAAATAAAACAATAAGGAGGGAGATAAATCGTAAAGATTTGGGAAACAAAGAGAAGGAGGGCATTTCTTGTATTCGTTGCAATTATACTTGCAATGAATCTTACAATTTTTTATTATGATTATTTGTGATTCCTTAAAAGTTAATAATGCAGTTGATCTGTCGTCCGTGGTACGATCACCGACGAGGTACAGGCCATAAAGAGATAAAGATAGAGTATGCGAGTCATATGTTACCGTGCAAGTGGATGCAATATGGGAATAGAAAAAGCGCTGTATAGAGGGTTCCCTCTGTGCTTGTCTAATCAGACACAGTGAACACAGACACCACTCAATGATTACATTTTTATTTCTATACGAATGTGCATGTGTTATTAGACAAGAATATGAGAGGTTTGTATGCAGCGTTCTCTTTCTACTCTTATACCGCTTTCTCAGCTTGCTCACACACTCTATCTTTATATCTCTATGGTACGACCCGTGGTATGTTTTATCTCGCTTTTCATTTGCCTGTCATTACACACGATGACATAGACGATCGAAAAAGATTGGAAAAAGCAAACAGAAGAAAGATGAAAGTAGGAATGAGTATAAAATCTCAATAATAATAACTTGTACTTGCTTGTACTTTTCATTAAATCTTCATAAAGTCATCAATGTTTTATTGCTAAACAAGCTTAAACATAAACAGTTAAATTTTATTATTCTCCGATAATGTGGATAAGCGAAATAAAGGTAAAAATAAAAATCATTTTAATGAGATCATATTTAAATAAGTTTGTATAAAGGATCTCAAAAATTGATAACATTTTATGTTGTAGCAGAAAATGTAAGTTGATGGATAAGTTTTTAAGTGATATACAATAGAATTTATCTCATACGAAAATCTAATTGTTATCGTCAAATTATAAAATATTCTAAAACGCAACGTAATGTATGCATATGTGTATATATTATACATACATGTGTATATTTATATGGATGTGTAACAAAAAAGGTTATATACATATTTCTAACACAGATTTTTTTGCCTCTGTTACCTTCATGTTGTCTTTATCAACTTTGGTAGTTAAATTTATAATTTCTAGACTCATTGCTCTAAATCGTAGAGGACATAACAAACGTCCGATTTCTTTTTTAAACGTCCGCTCCGTATTTTAAAACATAGGATTCGAAGTCTCTAAAGATGTTAGGTCTATCTTGTATACCCGTCTGTGGTTCCATTCATCTGGCACCACCCGACGATAGCTGCAAGTACTAAATGATAACCGGTTCTCGACCGAGTTTTTCATAACCTATAGGAGCAGAAGACTAAGATTAAGGGAAAGCATTGGCACTTTGTAATTTGTGTGAGTCGACAAGGGAAAAAGTCGAAATTCCGAGATGGACGATGACAATGATCAAGAACATCTAATCGAGGACGATTACTACACGTTCCTAAACATCGCGAGAAACGTGAGTTACCGAATCATTTCGAATTACTGAAACTGAAGACCAATTTCTCTATCTCCACGTGACATAGTATTCCTTGGTGTCTGATGTAATCGAGCTTCCCTTAGGGATATATAATAAACAATATGAACTTGTACTTTAAGAAAATCATTCAAACGTACTATTACATTCCTATATTTTGCTAATCAATCTTTTTCAAGGGAATAATAAATTATTTTAGTCACTGTTCTTATAGCCTGAATAGTGAAACATGCACTTCAGGATTGAATTTTCTTTAAGGTTTCTGTTATTAAAATAAAAAATTATTTTACAACATTTTATTTATGATATATTTGCTTACAGGCTACACAGGAGGAAATCAATTATGCGTACCGTACACAGAGCAAACTATATCATCCTGACAAGCATGTGGACCCTGTGCTCAAGAAAGAAGCAGAAGTATTGTTTAATCGTACTAAAGCAGCTTACAAAGGTTTATATAGAATAATATATTTTAATGTTTTATTATATTATATGAAAGTAAAATGCTTACTATAATATATATTATAGTTTTAAGTAATCCCCATCAAAGAGCTATTTATGACACTGTGGGGATTAAAGGACTGAAAACTGAAGGCTGGGAAATAGTAGAACGTACTAGAACACCTCAAGAAATCAGGGAAGAATATGAATATCTAGCGAGAGAAGCACAAGAGAGAAAATTACTAAGCCTCACAAATCCCACTACTAGTATCACAATGAATATCAACGCAACAGACCTTTTTAACAGATATGAGAAAGATCCTGAAGATAGGTAATACACTGTAACCTTTAATTCAGATATATGTGCTATAAAATACATTATATTTTAAAATATAGCAGGGATATACTTTCATGCATAGAAGTCAGTGGAATGTCGTTTACACAATCCATTGAAGCACCTCTTAGTTTACAAGATATTGTAACATTGTATGGTCAATTAAGCACAAGAAATGGTGTAGGATCTGGTTCTATAAACGTGTCAGCAAAGCGTTTGCTTTCGTCTAAAGGTTGGGTAGAATTAGAGGCCGGTGCTGGGAACGGACCGATGATATCGTTCAAAGGTTTTCGTATGCTACCCCATAAAGTATTGTTCAATGGGGCAACAATACTGGAGTTCACTCCATTCGAAATTAAGGCTAGTCTTATAGGCAGTATGTTCGTCCACCTTATCTTACTTATTGATATCGACTGCTGAAAATATTATGTAATTTTTAAAAGAATTACATTAATTTCAGGACTCACAATGCAATTAGATACTCATATAATGGGTGACCTTACATATAATGCGGGTCCAGAAAGTTCCATGAGTACCAGTATCGTTAGAGATACAGCGAGAACTTATACATCGTTTTCCATTCACCTTGGTGTTCTACGATCATTCGTTAGTTTTAATTACATATATAAAATGCACGAGAAAGAGATGAAGCTACGTGGCAGCGTGAGGTGAATATCAGTCAACAAATTATTCTATTACCCATGATTGTATGTATTCTATATTTCTAAGTCGTGAACATTTTATTAATTACAGAGCTGGCACATTCGGACTGCTCGTAGAATACGGAGCGGAGAAAAAGGTTTCGCGACACACTAAACTATCCGCGATCGTGTCCGCAGGGGTGCCAACAGGAGTCATGCTAAAGCTTAAATTGAATCGTTCCTTTCAAACCTACGCCTTCCCTATTCATCTTAGTGATGAGGTTCTTCCAGCTACTATGTTCTACGCTACTGTAATCCCACTAATGACATGGGTCGTGCTGAAGAAGATTGTTATAGATCCTATGGTAAAAAAACGACAAGAACGTGAAAAAGAAAAAGAGAAGGAGGTAAACAAGACAAGGATGATGGAAAAACAAAAAGAAGCAGAGAGCGCTACCAAATTAATGAAAGCCACTGTGAGTAGGATAAGAACTACGGAAGAATCAAAGAAGGGATTGATTATCACGAAAGCTTTGTATGGAAGATTTGTCTACCCTCAGCGAGATCAGTACAACTCAGAGCAGCAGACTATACGTAGAGACGAAGTAATAGATGTAACCATCCCTTTACAATGTTTGGTAAAGAATTCAAAGTTAATCCTTCATGGTGCATCTAAGGTATGTTTTGTAAAATTAGTTAAAAATAATGTATTTTTTCTTTTTTATAAAAAATAAAATTATTGTATGTTCCCATATTGCAGAGTGAACTGCCAGGATTTTATGATCCATGTGTAGGAGAAGATAAACAATTGTTAATACAATATCTATTTCGTAATCAAACACACGAATGCATAGTGAAAGATAATGCACCAGTCAGAATACCATTACCATGTAAGAACTAAACTAGATGATATATAATGATAACTGTGACTATAATTTTTATAAATATTAACAAGAAAAATTGGTCTGTTTCAGCACATAAAGTGAACACAACATGACGTATACGCCATCATAAGAAATCAAAGTAAAATCACCGTGTTTCATGGTTATAGTCTGTGCTGCTTCATTGAGTTCTTTCGACCGTTTTTAGATTAAACTTCCACAGATACCTTGAAGAAATTGAGTGTTCATCGATCATTCATACTACTTTATATGATAATTTTATGTCCCCAAAGTAATCGTTTGCATGATGCGCAAAGAAAACAGTGAAAGAATCAGATTATTATTTTCACAGTTACTGTAAGAAACAAATTGTCTTAGATACGACGACTGATTTATTCTCGCGTATAAGATCAAGGAGGGAGAAACTTAGTATGCCTTTATATGACTATAATAGAGATATTTTTCACACTAAAGAAAGTATTATTCGAAGAATCGATTATTGATAGAACTGTATCTTTGCTTCGTAATTCGTTAATATATGAAATATTTCCTTCATTAAACACAGAATGTGTATAATATATACATCATTTTTTAGAAATTGTATTCTCTCATACATTTAATTTCTCAAAAATAGTAGTATTCTACGAATTAGTATGAAAAGTGTAATTGGCAAATTATGTAAAATGGTAATATAGAACGCACATGCATAGTTCCACCCCATATATTTAATCTAAGGAAGTAATAAATATAATTTAAATTTTAGTTGGAAACACATTTCAAATGAATGATTTATTTAAAACAGATATGTTACATATAATTTTTACATATTTACATTTAAATCAATACTTTTCAATGCATTTGTTGAAATATTGGACCAAAGTTGAGCCAATATAGTCATTTCCTTGTTCTTCTTATCAGTCTCTTCTAAAGATGTCCATGAATGATCATATTCTAGTCTGTAGGAACCCTTGTAAGTCTGAACTGGTCCAGAATTTGATATAGCCCATTCCTGGAATATAAAATAGTTGGACTTTTCACATATCTTTTTTAATTCTGAAATTATTTAAAAGTATAATTTATTTACTTCTGGACTAATCATGGATAAGTAAAGCTGACCACTTTCTTTTTGGTACAAATGATACACTTGTCCAGGATGTTTTACAAAATTACAAGGAACATGATGTAATTTCATGTTCCAATCAGCTTCTGTGAGAATATTTTCAGCCTGTTTCTTCAGGTGCCTTATTTGGTCTACAATCACTTGCAATTTGCTGCAGGCATTTGCTTTAACAAAGTTGTCTGCTTTTTCTATTTCCGTTGCCAATGCAATTAAATCTTGTCGAGAGATTTTACCCACAGCTTCTGGATCATTTAATGGAATACCTTGCGGTTGAATGTTACGCTCTACAAGAGCTACTGCTTACACATTAACAATAGATAACAATTATTATCTTAAATAGTATCAAAAGAGTAATAAGATTCTATTTATACCTTTACTAGGTAGATCCTTGGAATCATCCATAGTAGTAGCTTTTTCATGAGGAAGACAGTTTACAAACACATTCATCGAGAATTTTCTATAAAAATAAAAATTAACAATGAAGTAATGACAACATAATGAAGAGGTTATGATACATAATAATTCAAATAATCCGATGAAGATTATATCGTATGGTTAAAACATTTGAACTTCCCAAATTCTGGGATTTTGATAAGTGTAATGGCAAGATGTCTATAACACATACATATTATACAACGTAGTGCTGATATGTCGAACTTTTGAAGTTATGTTATTGCGTGTTCACATGGATTTATTTGATGTATAAATTCACCACGTACCTTTAAAATACATAAGAAAGGCATATATAGGATTTTTTTTGCCAATCTTCAGCTGCCTCTTTCAAGTCAAAGCTTTTCTTAGCTTTCTTCTTTCTCGATTGAAAAACGGATATAAAGTTTTGGATTGCTTTTAAACACGTAATAGCGCTGTCATCGACAACGAAGGATGTTGTTTCCGCGAGCAATTGTGAGATCTCTAAAACGATCGAGGGAAACCGTGTAAACAGGGATTAAGTAGTTTTACACGCAACAAATTTTAACACGTTTTAAATGATTTACAAAGAAAATGATAGAAAAGTTGTTATCGATAGATACGGTGAAACGAACTAAATACAAAATTTCAATGAAATTGAAAGAAAGAAATCCTTATTTGTGTATAATGGAATCCTACCAAGTTTAGGCTTTTAGATAATTATTGACTATAAGAATATTTATCAGACCAATAAATAATTTGCAATGGATTATGCAAGTGTAATCGACCAAGCTGTGAAGCAGTTCTACGCGGAGGGAAATAACGACGTTCACTCATGGTTGCTTAAAGTTCAGACTTCTCCGGAAGCCTGGACTTTTGTTTGGGATCTTCTTCATTCCTCTAAGGTAATGGAATATATTACTTTTTCCATGGGATATTGGTATCTTATTGGAAATAATAGTCCTCATTTTTATCATAGTCAAGAGAAGCACAGTTTTATGCGGCTACCACGTTACATGCCAAAATTTCCAAGCAATGGGATGAAGTGCCCAAGAGTGAATATCCTGTTCTACAGGAGCGTTTAATAAACTTTATGAAGCAGCCAGACATGCCAAAGGTTGTTCTGTCTAAACTTTGTCAAGCGGTAATATCTCCTACTTGAATTTATTTGATTTAATTTAACTTGTAGAGATAATAAAGTAACGAATTCTATGGTTTCAGTTAGCTGGATACGTAGCAAATGTTAGTATAGTTGCAGATAATGATAATAAAGATAAAAATGTTGTAGAGGAATTGACACGGATGTTGTCTTATGATTCTCTTCCTATGTTGGAACTGTTGTTACGCACGCTTTCTGTGTTACCTGTAGAGGTAAGATATGTACATAAATAGTTTTTGTAGTCTTATATTATATATTATATTAACATGTTCAATAATGTAATCAGTTTGAAAGAAGACATGACGTAAGAAGAGCCAAATTACACAAATGTATAGTAAATAGCTGGTATAAGACAACCTGGTTGTTAGAAGAAGTTTTTTCCATGACTAATCTAAATTCTGAATACGTTAATAAAGATATGCACTTACTAGCTATGGAATGTGCATTATCCTGGCTTAAAGTTGGCCAACTTCCTCTCGAGGCTACAGGGCAAATATACCCCCATTTATTAACAGCTGCAGCATATTATGCACCAGCCAGGTATGTGTATATATATTTCAAACATGTTTTTTATAAATGAGACAAAATGATAAATAATTTTAAAGGACAATGCGTGGCGAAAATCCCAGAGGCTGGGAAGTAGTTCAAGAATGCTTAAATATGATAGTAACCCATAGTGAACTTGTAAAGATACCACAAACATTGTGGGAATGGGCACATAGTTTGGTAACCATGGCAAGACAATACAGTGACAAATATTTTTGTGAAATTTTAACTGCAATTGGAGAGGCTCATAGTAGAACATTTTTAAATGCTTTAGTGGAAGAAGGAAATGATACGCAGAAATGGACAGTCGAAGGTTTAATTGAATTACTTTTACAATGTTCAGAACAAGAGGGAAGATATCCCACGAATGAAACTCGCAGTTCTATCCCATTTGGGTTCTGGTACGCTTTGCAGGATTATCTCCCTACCCTCGATCAACCTTACGAGAGTCGTGCTTTGCTGATTCTAAAACCCATTTACGCAAGATTAGCTCAAGCATTATTAAGAAAGTCGACACTTCCCTTGACTCACAACGAAGCAGGAGATGTAGATGAAAGAGAACTTTTCAGGTGTTACAGACAAGATGTGGCAGATGCTTTAGATTATTGTTATAGAGTATTAGGACAAGATTTACTAGTGCTTCTCGGACAGAGATTAAGTCAGACGTTAAACAGTTCACAGAAGTGGACAGAAGTAGAGTCAACATTGCACGCTTTTGAGGCTGTAGCCGATAGCGTTGGTATTGAGGAATCCCACTACATTCCCGCTTTAATGGATTTGGTTCTTAGTCATATCCCATATGATCATTATCCTGGAGAGGTACAACAAATTTTCTAGTATTAAAATGCTGCATAATTAAATTATATTTTGCAATTTTATATTCACTTACAAAAAAAGTAATATGTAGAAGCTTACTTTACTTCATCATAGATGGAATGCAAGATTTGATTCTATGTTTTTAGGTACTCGCATGTGCATGTTCAACAATGGGAGCATATGCAGAATGGATCGGAGAACATCCGGATCCTTGGCTAGAGAGAGTGCTTCGAATTGTAACTTTGGGTTTGACAAGAGGCTCAGTAACAGCACCTTTTGCTACTATGGCTTTGAAAGATTTAGCTAGAGAATGTGAACAGCAACTCACACCCTTTGCTCCATCTATTCTCAACACTATCGAACAAACTCTTCCAAACGTTACTCCGGGATGCGCAGAAGGTTTACGAATGATGTATGCAGCTGGCAAGTTGTTAAATACCTTGCCCTCTGTTGACGAACAATTAGCTCATCTGGATGCTACACTAGGATTATGTATAATAAAAATTCGAGAATTACTACAACAACCGTGGTTCATGGCTCGTGGTGCAGTAATGAATCAATTAAAAATGGCCACCATGTTCTTTTCTACATTAGAAGGATCTATTGGAAAGGCTGTATTAGATGGACTGTTACCGATATTCAGTCAAATCGTTGCTCATCCCGAGTGGGGACAGGACAATTTCACACTAGAAGAGATGTATATCTGCGCCCAAAAGTCCCTAATGTCATTGTTGCATCCTGAGGAAGATGCTCGACCTCTACTTCCCATTCTGGCAAACTCGTACAAGAATTGGCCTCATCCCGCAGCTTTAAATCTTCTTCGACAACTCGTCCTATTATTTGGACGAGATCCGAATAACGTAATAGGTCCCGTTTTCGCAGACATAAGTTCTATTACGCTAAGTGGCGTCAGGGCCTGCAGATCCGTAAATGGAAATTTATCCGATTGGGCAGAATTAATGGAAGCATATCTTGGATTGTTGGCTCAAATTTGCAAAAAGAATACCAGGCTATTGTTACAGATTCCTGAACAAATTCCTGAAATGTTGCAATGTGGTAAGTTTTAGTTTATAACTTGATATATTTTCGATTATTAAATCCGGAAATCTGTAATATCAAAATTTAAAAATGCAGGAATCGACTGTTTAACGTTACCAGAATCGGGCACAGTTAAGGCGGCCGGACATTTCCTCACACATGCTATTATGCAAAGTCCGCACCTACAGACGTTCGTTCAACCAATTGGTCAACAGTTAGTTTACGTAATTTTACAGTGTGTAGGTATGTAAATAGATAGCTGTTCCTTGAAAAATGTCAAATAACTATATAATAAAAATTCGTAATAATAGGAGGACAAGTACCACGAAGATACCTAGAACCTCACGCGGAAGTTTTGTTGACATTGAATAAAACATGCATAGAATGGACAGCACAGTGGCTTCGTGTCGCCTTTGAAAAACATGGTGCCTTATACAAAATTTCGCAAACACAAAAGGAGAATTTCATTAAAAATATTCTCCGAGAACGAACGAATAAACGGATGTGCGATTTATTGCAAGATTTTAGCCTGCAAAATTTACCTTCTGCAACTAATTGGAGTGTAATGACGCGTAAGCAATAAAAACAAAAGGAAAGGTAACGAAAAGTAATTAATCATACTCGATTGAGTAAATGCTATTATAATCTGTGTATTATATCTTTTACCGCGAATGGTAATGTTTATCTTTTATATAACAAGCAATTTTAAATAAAAATTATGCATATATTTAAAAAGAATACATAATGAGTGAAAGGAGAAGTGATAAACAGAAGTATATTACATAAGACATCGATTTTTTTTATTCATTGTCCATAATCAGTGCGTTTTAAAAGTTTACAAAGAAATCATTTCCATTTTTTAATAGAATTCATATACTGTAACCTACATAATACTCAATACCGACCTCCACACAACATAAAACATAAAATATTCATTTATCTTGTTGTTTCTAAATCACATTAAATCAATCTTACAAATTAACTTCTATGTTTCAACATCATTCGGATGTGTAACATTCAACTCGATATGCTTACAAAAGAACGGAGAAAAAAGGGAACTACAAAATAAAAATGACTTACATTTGAATTGTCGATATGCTTACAAAATCGGAAAAAAGAGAATTCCAAAATAAAAGTTACTTATGATTGAGTATTACAAACATGCTATTTCAATATCCTTGAAGATTCTTTTTCCATTTGCACACATGCACCTTCGTTTTGTTTGGAATTGTTTATTACACAATATCGAAAAGAAATGTAAAAGAGAGATAAGCGCGTCAGAATGTCTCTCGATTGTTTACCAAATGTTCTTCCTTTTTCTTTAACCTGAATTTTGATTTTTACTGTGATTGGCTTCTTCAATTTGTGTTGATATGCAAAATTTCGCCGCAACTCGCGACTTTTTAGGCTTTATTACGGTCTGTGTATTTTGTACTTGATGTGAATTATTCTGCACTGGTTTCTGCTTCTCAAGGGTCGTGCTGACAGCTTCCACTTTTATCGTCTAGAAAGATTTAGTATAGGAATGAATATTTATAATTGTTTGAGAATAAATATTGTTTTAAAAAATATTGATAACAAACCTTCGTTGGCGATTCCTTTCCCTTCTGTTGTACTGTGGGCTGAGGTTTGTCTTTGGCACTTTGATTTGCACTGTCTTTGCTTACAGCCTGTTTGGCTGTGATGTGTCTGCTTTTCTTTTGTGCTTGTAAGGGTACGAAAGCTGTGCACTTCTTTGTCTCTGCCTTTGGTTCCTTCTG